AAAAAAAAAGCTACTTAAAGCGCCGAGTGACCCCAGTACTTACGTCTTTTCAGAGAGAGCAATCCGTGATACGAGCATTTGGGAGCAAGAGAGGAGTCTACCGAATCTCCCTACGTACCTGGAGACGTTTGCTCAAGAAGATGTGAAGAAGGTGCCCAAGAAAGCTGGCCATCCCCACACGATCGTTGTTGCGGGTGCTGGCATCAGGGCCGCTGACCTTACGAGGTACGTGCTTCCTCACGTTGGTCAGATGAGCAGTCAACTTACTTTCGTGACGTGATAGATCCTTGAGGAAATTTGAGACGAAAGACGTCAAGGTGGCGAAGCTGTTTGCAAAGCACATCAAGCTGAAGGAGGCCATGGAGTCATGTAAGAGGATGAAGATGAACATCGGCGTCGGAACTCCTCAAAGAATCATTGATTTGCTGGATGGAGGTGAGTAGCGGTTGCGTCATAGGTGGAGTCTGCGTCAGTTGGTGCTAATTAGATCCAGGTGCCCTATCTACCGATAACCTGAAGCGTATCGTGGTTGACGCATCTTATATCGACGACAAGAAGCGGGGTGTGATGGACATGAAGGACACGCAACCTCCTCTTGCAAAGCTTCTGACCCGGGAAGATCTCAAGGCCCGTTATGGGAAAGACAAGAAGATCGAGCTGCTCTTCTACTAGATGACGCTCGCATCAAGGACCAGATGATTGTCCGCACTACCTACCTGCTATACACTCACATGTCATTCAGGCTCGGCCAAGAAACCTGACCGGGCAACAGGCGTGATCGGCTGGATTTTCCAGTACTTGAAACAGGGAGCTCAGTGGATTGATGAAGGCAGGACTTGAGAGAAGCGATGTCACGAAGATGGCTCGCTACGTATGCTCCAACATCCAAGGTCCGAAAGCACCAAACCCTTTTGCCAGCAATTAGGATGTGCAGTCGGACTTTTGCACGATTACAGGGGGCAACTCCTTGAAACGCATGGCCCGCGAGACGCGGGCGCACACTCCGCCTCGGCTCCGGCGTCTATTTTCAGCAACAGGAACCCAGCGGCGGGGAGCAGAGATACGCAATTAGACAGAGGGTAGGGTACATAGTTGGAATTTGAACGGGAAGTTATGCACCACCTTCTGCCGCGGCCGCCACGTGAGGAGGCGGGTAATAATCCGTCGACATTATGATCAGCAGCTCTCCCGCGCCATATCACCGAACTTTGAACGACAAAAGCCCTGGGATGAGAGATCTGGAGGGCGTTGGGTGCATCAAACGCGCCGTACTGGGTTAGGTAGGTAGGTAATGTAGTTTTACGGAGGGTGGGTTGTTGGTGGCTTTCCTGGACATGTTTTTGCGAACGGGGACTTGGATGGCCTGTTTCTGACAACACAACAAGCAAATCTGACTTCATAGCGATTGGCCAATGCGGAATGGCCGGTGGAGGGGTGATGGTGGTGTGTAGGGCAGAGTGCGGGTGGACGACGAGACGGAGCGGCCGCGGCGGTCGTCGTCGGGGCGGCGCACAAACGGGCTGGGAGCGTGGCCGACCTGGCAGCTCCGGCCGCCGGCCGAGCCGAGAAAGAGGAGAAAGAGGACGTTCTGCAGTCGATGTGATGGGGGGTCGAGGTGATATGGAGCGTGAATGGCCAAAGGCCCGACCGTGTTAGCGTGTCCAAGCACAACAACCCCAGCCAACTCGCCGCGTATCAGGGATTATACTACTCCCGGCTCTCTCTCGAACGTCGCAGCTTCAACAGTGTTTGAGCACTGACTCTGCCCTCGTCCGTCCTCCGAGTGCAGAACGCTTTCACGGCCGCTTTCGCCTGCCTTCATCCGCCCTCGACTTTCAAGATACCCGCCTGCCGTCCGTCGTCATCGCAACTGCCCAAGGATCCTTCGCCCTCACCGACCGTCCGATTCGAAGCTTCACCAGCGCCTCCGTCAGACCACCACCTTCGCCAGTCCTCCGCCGCGACGAATTTTTCAAGGCGCTGCCAAAGTCGTGTCTCGTCGTCGCTCTTGTTGAACCCCCCTCTCGCACTCTTCTTCGCACCGCGACTAGCGCATCCGCAGCGCGAGTAGCCTAGTCGGTGAGTCCCGCTCCTCGCAAACCTCACTTCATTCAGACTCGGTGCTGACTGTGTCTGTCTTTTCCCCGTTGCAGACCTGCTTCGTCCGTTCCGTTGTCGAGCCGCCTATTCCAAGCCTTCCGTGTGCAAACGTTGCTTCATCCGTTGACATATCGCCGACGCAATGGCTGCACCCGCTACGCAGTCTCTGAAGGTATGGCCCTCGCTCGAGACGCCAACAATACATCGGTTCTGACGACTTCCGCAGTGCGTGGTTACAGGAGACGGTGCGGTCGGAAAGGTACGCTTGTCTACGCACCTCCTATGTTTGCGCGCTCTGACTTCTTTGTAGACTTGCCTGCTCATCTCGTACACCACCAATGCCTTCCCCGGCGAGTACATTCCGACTGTGTACGTCATGTCTTTCACCCTTTTGTCTAGATCTCGCGTCGACTCACACACCGCAGCTTCGACAACTACTCCGCAAATGTCATGGTAGACGGCAAGCCGATTAGCTTGGGTCTGTGGGATACCGCCGGTCAGGAGGATTACGATCGTCTGCGCCCTCTGTCGTACCCCCAGACGGACGTCTTCCTTATCTGTTTCTCGATTGTGTCGCCTCCCTCGTTCGACAACGTCAAGGCCAAGGTGCGACACCCGCATTCCCCGACTGTCCGCAAATTGCTGACAGGTTACACGTAGTGGTACCCCGAGATCGAGCATCACGCGCCCGGCGTCCCGATCATCCTGGTTGGTACGAAGCTTGACTTGAGGGATGACGAGGGCACGAGGGAGAGCTTGAGGCAGAAGAAGATGGCTCCCATCCAATACGAGCAGGCAGTCATGGTCGCCAAGGAGATTAAGGCCCACAAGTACCTCGAGTGCTCGGCCCTGACCCAGAGGAACTTGAAGAGCGTGTTCGACGAGGCCATCAGGTGCGTTTTCGCGCGAGCCGCGGATTGTGCGGCATGAAAAGCACGGATGCTCATTTGCTAACATTCATGCAGAGCTGTATTGAGCCCGCGGCCAGCCACGAAGCCTAAGAAGAACAAGTGCGTTGTTCTGTGAGATACCAGCGGATAGCGCCAAGCGCGCAGAGATAATGACATAGACCGGTGCGCTCTGCGGCATCGTGGGTACGGCGGAATTGAGTACTGAGATGATTCAGAAGACCTCATTGGCGTTTAGTTCGAATTTGAAGCAGCCACGATCCGCAAAGTAAACCCAGCAAGCAACTCTCTGTTCACGACACGCGCCTCGCCGTTCGCTTGTTGTGCACGACACGAGAACGGCTTTCCCCCCCTCCCCTTTACCCCTCCCTCATCACCCGGTGGCTCTCTTACATTCCCTGTTTTCTCTCGTCGGTAGCGGAATCTGGGGTTGAGAGAATCATTTTTTCTCCTAGTTTCATTGTAGATAGCGCGTGCGGAGCAATGGGCATGGCAGTCAATATTAGTTAGTGGTTTTGGTAGTGGTGAATGCGCTTTTGCGGTCTCATTAGCTTAGGGTGGCACGCCTTTAATTCTGTACAGCTCCATGGCGTGCCTCCCCGCGAAACTAGCAAGGCTTTATTTGCAAGTCTGAAGTGTCTGGTGGGCAATGACTCGTGCATGTGATGGCGCGTGTTGAAGGATTCTGGGGAAGTTGGTGTTGACGTAGTTTGAAGAGGGCGAGAATCCAGTGTCTCAAGCGTGCATGAAGAATAGCAGAGTGCATATAAGCAGAAATCCCATCAGTCTGGTTCCGCTATGATTGAATCGATCGCCGGGTAGCGTTCCCGTGCAAATCCATTGGCGTCAGCTCCACCCGACGCGCCGAGCTCCTCCTCGTCCCCTCCACCATCTCCAATCATGTTCCACCAAGGCGATCTCCAGAGCGGCATATCGCTCGCCATCCAGCAATCCAAGCTGGTCGTCTGCTTCGTGCGAGGTGCGTTTGAGCAAGCAATGCATCCTGCCTCGGTGGTATCTGACAGTGCTTGGCGAAGGTAGATGCCGACGAAGAGAGCAAGATCTGGGAAGATGAGTGGCTGCAGGATGAACAGGTATGATATGCCGTTCCGGTTGCATGCTTCCGGACATGTCACTAATGTAGTCTCACTTTAGCTGGCTGAGTCACTTGGGTCAAAGGCGATAGTCCTGCGTTTGGAGGCTGGCTCTCAGGAAGCTGGCTTTCTCTCAGCTTTCTGTCCCATCGCAAAGACGCCTGCGCTGGTTGCCATACAGTAGGCACTCGCAGAATCCTTACAGCTGATATACCTGGCTAATCAAGCTTGTCTTTGTAGCAATGGCCAGCTCAAGCTGTACCTCTCTGGCGGCACCAGCCGGGAGGACTTTGTGAGCCGCTTGTCCAACGCCCTCAACCCCGCCGAACCTGCCACTGCTCCCGGCATGCCGCAAGCTCCACAAGCACTTTCCGAGTCAGCCGGAGCTCCCGAACCGGTTGCGGCACAGCCTCCCGCGCCGTCGACCGCCGAAGACGACCCGTACGAGTCACAAGATGGCCCCGATCCCGCGCGCGTTCTCGAAGCCTCTTCCGAAGCGTCCATTGCGCACAACGTCCCGCCCGCTGCCCCAGTACTCCCCACACTCCAGGCCTCGGCCCCTCCCGTTTCCGACGCTCAGACCGAAGCCCAGGCCCAGCCCGCCTCTACACCTGCCTCCGTGCCCATATCGGAGAAAGCGGCGGGAAAGCGCAGAGCTGTTGAGGAGGAGAAAGCCACTCCTTCCGCAGAGAAGAAGGATGCCGCTAAGAAGAGCTATGCGACGCAAGAGCGTGCGCGGAAGGCGTCACAGCGCGACGAACTGAACCGCATCCTCCAGCGAGTCGAGGCAGACAAGCAGGCACGCAAGGAACGAGAACGCGAAACTAAAGCCCGCCGCGAAGCCGAGCTCAGAGAGATCGCCAACGCCGGCGCCGAAGGCGACGCTCCTTCCCCGGCCGCGCCATCGTCCTCAGTAGCAAAGGCACGCTCGGCCACTAGCACCAGCAAAGACATCACGCTACGTGTGCGCCTGCTCGACGGCTCCCAGATTCGTGAGCCTTTTCCCCCGACCGCGACGCTGCAATCGGATGTCCGTCCCCGCGTCGACTGGGCTCTTGGTGGCGGAGACTCCAAGCCCCCGCCCTACACCTTCAAGCACGTCCTTGCGCCGCTGCCGAACCGCAACCTCTCCGCCTCGGAGGAAGCGACACCGCTCTCGGAGCTGCCCGACGTCGCGCCCAGCGCCACACTCGTGCTCGTGCCTGTCCGTGGCGCGGCGCATGCGTACGCCGCCGCTGGCAGTGCTGCCGGAGCAGTTGCGCGGGGTGGAGGCCCCTTCGGCGCGGTGATGGCGATCCTGCTGCGCATCTGGAACCTGGTGTGCGCGTTTGTGGGCACGCTGTTTGCGCCGTTGACGCGGGGTGCTGCGCGCGGCGGCGAGGGCGGCGCAACGGAGCGGGAGCGGCATGGTCGGCCGGTTAATCTGGGAGGTGGGGACCGCAGAGGCCGCAGTGCTGGCGAGGGCAGTGGTAATGGTGCTGCTTCGGGTGCGACGGCGGGAGCGCGTGCGTCGGGGATGCGGGTTCGTACGCTGGGGGATCAGCGTGAGGGCCAGAATGAGTATTACAATGGGAATAGCCTGGACTTTGAGCCCAAGAAGGGCGAGGATGAGGGAAAGTAGAGAGCGGCTTGTGGATGGACTAGACTTGATAGGTGAGTAGGGAGTCGTGATAGAAGGTACAGAAGAAAAGTGGAAACGGGTGGGTTAAGTGAATGTTAGGTAGTGCCCCCAGTCAGTTTGCTGCACGATGTACTCACGAACGAGCATGAATAACGTTATAACAAAGTCTTTTTCTAGCACCTAAGCCGAACACAGTGTATCAACGCTTTCCCAAACCCTTCAATAAGCCCTACACCCCCTCCTCTCCACCAAAAAACCACTCCCCCGAACCCACACAGCTCCAGCCAGGCAGACAGCACAACAACCCCCACATGCAGACAAAGATCTCTCCATCCTCATCCTTCCCCACACACTCCCACATCCCCACGCACCCACGCACAGCATGACGTTCCTCCCTCTCCCCATCCCCACCTACCACAAGCCTCGGCCCCACCCGCGATCAAGATCGAAAATCTCAAACAAAGTTACGATAAGCTTTGCGGCTCCTCCAGGCCGCTGCGCGTCCCTACCGATTTTGCGGCGGTGGCGGCGGCCCTTCCAGCCTTCTCTGCTATGACGACGACGCGGATGACGCGCGGACGCGCGTGCGCTTGGGTAGGTTGTGCACGGGCTTGGGTGGGCGTGGGAGGCGGTGGGGGGTGAGGGGTTGAGGGGTGTGTGTGTTGGGGAAGGGGAGGGGGAAGGGGTTATGGGGAGGATGCGTGGGTAAGTGTGTGAATGGGTGTGTGGTGGATGTGGAAGTGGCAAGAGAGATGAATGGATGGATGGATAAATGGGTAAGCAGATTGTCTGTCTATCATCAGCAGGCTGGCAGGTCACTGCCTAGGTACCTACCTACACTGGTACTCCGTACCACCAATTCACATCACTCAATGCACTCTCGGTCATTCAATCAGCAATCAATTCCCTCGCGAACCAACACCTTGCTTTCCGTCTCCGTTGCTTCTTTTCCCCTTCTCCACCACAACCTCTTCATATACCTAAGAAGAAAACAGACACACACGGAAAAGAAGACGAGACGAGAGTAGACGAGACGAGCCAGAGATCCCACTCCCCTCCTTTATTGCCAACCCCTACCCCATTCTCCTGTCCTCCCTCTCTCTCCTGCCTATACTATCCTATCCTACCAGAAAGAACAATGGCTGGCATCTTGTTTGCTTGTTTTGCTCCTCCGTGCAGAGTAAGTGCTGCTGCTAAGTGGATGGATGGATGGATGGTTGGTTGGTTGGTAGGTTCGCCGCCGACTTGTGTATGTATGTATGGAGTGATTGATTGATCGATGGATGGATGATGGGACGGATGTATAGATGATGCATGGAGCAATGCTAAGTTCGGAGGGTGCATGCAAGCATGCGTACATGCGTACAGGGGACGACGAGAATGACTAAGATGAGGAAGAGGAGAGACAGCCAGACATGTCGTGTCGGGTCAAAAGCGGTGGACGCGTGCGTGCGTGCGCGAGGCGGCGCGTATCCCCCTTCTCACTCCAAGAAGAAAAGAGGAGAAGAAAGGTAGAGAGGCGCGAGCGTCCTACCCAGAAGAACTCGCCAGGCCTGCACCCACCACGCCTTTCCTCCACTCACGCCCTAACGATCCCGATCCAACAGCTCGTCGTCCTCATCTTCGCGCGCTTCTTCGCCCCTCCTGCTCCGACGCCTCCCTCGTCCATTGCTGTTCCCTCCCCACCACCAATCCGTAACCTCGGCCCAGCCGTCCCTAATCCATGCGCCGAACCCTGTGTGCTCCTCGCCGGTATGGTCGTCGCCGCCGCGTTCTAGGTCGTCGCCGCCATCATCATCCTCGTATAGACTCTCCTCGGTCTCTTCCACCAGCCGTGGAGCTGCATGGAGGTCTTCGTGAGCGGCGGCGGCGCTGAAGGTACTGGAAGGGGCGGGCGAGCCGTGCGTCGAGAAGGATGATGTTGTTGAGGAGGAGGCGGATGCTACACTGCCCCCCTCTTGTTCGTTGGAGAGACTGCGTACGACGTCACCTTTGCAGATGGGGCAAGTGCGTCGGCGGGTCGTGAGCCAGGGCGTGCTGGGTACGGATGCGTATTAGCATTTGTCATATCTCTTCGGTGGATGCTGAAAGGTTTCTTAATAGGAGGAAGCACTTACATGCACTCTGCGTGGAATTCGTGGCCGCATGGCAGGCTCATGACTCTGCTTACGCCGTCGACATACTCTTCCAGGCAGACGACGCATTCCTTTTGCCGGCCACCGTACTTCCGGCGCCAGGCCGCGAGGCCGCTTTCGCCCTTCTCTTCATCCGCGGCAGTCGTAGGAGAAGTTGACCGATCCCGGCGGCTAGGGATTTCCGAGGCAGTCCTGCTCCTTGGCCTAGGGCGGGATGTCGAGGCATGGGCAGAAGAATTACCCTGCAGCAATGGTGTGCGCGAAGATGCAGCCGCAGGATTGGGAGTAGCAACTAGGCTGTTGGAAGAGTTGCTGCTGTGGGAGGAGAGGGTGTGATATGTGCGAACGGGAAGACGCTCGACGATGGATTTTGGGGCGCGCCATCGACGGCGACGGATGCGGGAGCGGAGAAGGAGCATGGCGTAAACAACGGTGAGGGTGATGAGGGGTGAGACTACCAATACTAACAAGGTGTCGAAGAAAGGAGAGCTGGACATGCTCGTTGGGGTGAGAGTGACCCAGAGACCCTCGTGTCGATCCTGGCCTTTGGGCATGCTGGCAGCAGCAGCATGCGGGGTATATGAAGATGCATATTTGGTGGTGAGAGAGCTGGTCCTTGCCTTCCCATAAACTCGCGGGGTAGGAATCGCTTCCTCGTTCATCTCTCCGTCTTTCTGATCGTGCTTGCGCCAGGATATATTGCCCAACCAACCTTTCCCTCCACCATTAGAGGCCTTGTCTTTTGTGAAAGATCCATCATCATTCCTATAATGCTTTGACCTGGGGTCAGCGTACTCGCCACTGCCAGGCAGTACGTGTCCTCCTTGAGGCTCGGAAGTACCGGACGGTTGTTTGTTCGAAGACTCCGGCGAACTTCCACTGTTAGTGGGTTTAGACTGTTGCGGTAACAAGTCCGGATCTCTCCAATCCTGCACGCCTATGACGAAATCGTCTCCGAATGGTTTTGAGGACGTTCTGAGCGTGTGGTTAGGAGTAGACTTTGCTTTGGTAGCCGACTTTGAAGTTGGCTTGGCACTCGAGGTCACAGTTTCTTCTTCTTCCCAGTTTTCAACAAGAATCCAGTCAATATTGCCGCTGCTTGGCGGCCTTCTGCTCTCTCCACCAGTGGCATGACGATCGGAACCAGTCCCAAAGATGCCAAGGAATGAAGAAATCCAGCCGGGCCGTTCGGACTTGGTCGAATCTCCATGGACCTTCGAGCCTGAAAACGGTTCCTTCGGTGTGCGCCCAGCGGGACTGAACGTTGGAGAAGATATGGCCTGGGTGAATGTTGGGCGAGATTTCTCAGTCTTGCCGCTTTTGGACGCTTTGCTTCCATTACCAAGACCCAGCTTAGCAATGTTCTCGGAAGCAAGCCCCTCGATAAATTCTCCCGAGGGTATCAAAGATGACAAAAGATGTGCTGTCGTGTGCGAGGTGAACAACGCGGGTATCGTAATGTTAGAAGTGTCGCCTCGTGCATACATGGTCACCAGGGGACCGCCTCGAATGTCGTCGCCGACGATGACGGCAACTCCGCCTCGTCTTTGTGCCCATTTTACCTTTTCTAAGAAGCCACATCCACCACGGCTGAGTAGAACCACCTTGCCAGTTATCTCGGCACTCTCTTGGAGCGACTGGATATCGGCGTGCTGGGGAAGTTCCTTTCCACCCTTGGAAAGACGACGTGCATTGGCTCGAGAGTCCCAGACCTCCAATTCAGTTTCATCGGTACCGTCATCTTTGACCGCCTTGACTCCGTCTTTGGACTCTGCGGCAACAGCAGCAGGCCCGCCAACCACGCTCCTTCTAGAAGGTCCCGCCGTGGAACCAGTGTTTGGAGCATTTTTGGAAGCCAATATTGACGCTATGTCTGGATGCGCGTCCGTTCCCCCATGGCCACCTCCTTCGCTCCAGCCGGGCACGTCACTGCATCCGAGCTCGCCTTCGGCACCTGCTGTCAAACCTCCATGTGCCAAGTTATCACCCCCAAAGCCGCTTCCGGTCCATAGCTGGCCGCTCAAGCCTCTGGCGGGGAGCGGAGGCCCAAACGCTGCAGGTCGGGCAAGGAAGAAAGTAGAGTTGTCGTCGGTGAGGCTGATGACGGCCGAGGGCGGGAAGAGCGAGGGGGCGGAGAAGGAGAAGAAGGCGCGTAGCCTGCCCTTCTTCTTGCCTTGTTCGACGGGGCCGTCGGACAGGTCAGTCGAGGCGGTGGGGAGAGTGATGTAGAGCAGTAGTGTGATGGCCAAGACACATGACACGAGAGAAAGCAAAAGGCGTAGAAGGCGCATGGTGCGACGGCAACGGGCGGAGGGCGACAGGCTCGGCGCCCAGCGCAACGGGATGGAGTACGCAGGTCGGGATGAGGGGAAGAGGAGGAGAGTCGGCGAGTGGTAGGCTATGTCGACATCTGGGGGAGGGTGCGCGCGCGGGCCAAGGACGAATGGCGGGGTGACGGCGCGATGATCAGACCAGCACGACCAGCAGGCGAAGCGAGGTTTGGCAGGCAGACGGGATGACAGAGGAGATCGAGGATGGGATGGGATAGTCGCAGTTGCACGGCTGAGGTGCAGGATTTAGGAGGGACGGGGTGCAGAAGTGCAGGAAGCTGTTCTGTCGGTTGCGGAGGTGTTGGGCCGCTTTGGGACTGGACTGCATGTGACAGCATGACCAGCCGGCGCGCAACCACACGATGCAAAGCAAAACGTCCGCTTGCAGCCGGGCTGCATCATGAGAGAGAGAGACTCTCTTCAATCAGGCCTCCTATTGAGCACGCGTCGGTGACGGGAGGCGTGTCCGCTAGCCTTGCGCCAACTTACGCCACTCACTTCCCGCTCCACCCGTCCGTCATGCATTTTCCAACCCGCCAGCGCGATGGCTCCTGCCATAGGTAGGTAGATTTTCCCTTGGCTAGAATGACAGCACCGGTGCCTCCTGCTACTTTTATCAACGGCCTTTTCTCTCTCATCCTTTCCATTCTTCTCTCTCATCATCCATCATCTCACCTTCAGCCTCTTTCGCTCTATTTTATCCCACCTCCTCTCCCCTATCTATCTATCTATCACCTCCACTACGCACCAGTCCTCTAGTCTCTCTCACACCTCCCGTTCACGGACGTCCCGAGACCTCATCTCTCGGTACTGCTGCCCCTCTGCTTGGCTGCTCTACCCCGGATATAGACTGACCCCTGTCGCTCCAGCTCTCCACCATGAACATCAACAAGCCCTCGGACGCCCTTTATGTGCTTCCGTTCGTTAAGCCTAAGCCGTATGATCCAAACGCTCCTCCGCGCGAACGCCGCCTGCGTGGCTTCAGCTGGTTGCCCAACAAGCTCAGGAATCACTTCATTGCCATGATTGGAGAATTTACGGGAACCTTCCTTTTCCTCTTCTTCGCCTTCTCTGCTACCCAGGTCGCCAATACTTCGGCCATGGCAGCAGCCCAGAGCAATAGTGGCGCAGCTTCGGCTCCAAACGTGGCTACCTTGCTCTACATCAGCTTGGGATTCGGCTTCTCCCTTGCCGTGAATGCATGGGTCTTCTTCCGCATCAGTGGAGGGCTGTTCAACCCTGCGGTATGCCTACCCTGTTTCCGATCCCAGATCTCAAACTGACGCAACCGCATAGGTCACCCTGGGTATGTGCTTGATCGGCGCCGTCGGGTGGGTCCGTGGCGCTCTGGTGGTCTTAACGCAGATCATTGGAGCTATTTGTGCTGCAGGCATCGTCTCTTGCCTATTCCCAGGGCCACTGGCTGTCCGTACAAGCCTTGGCGGTAGCACCTCCATTGTCAGGGGTCTCTTCATTGAGATGTTCCTCACGGCACAGCTTGTCTTCACCATTTTCATGTTGGCGGCAGAGAAGCACAAGGGTACCTACCTAGCCCCGATCGGTATTGGTCTATCGCTGTTCATCGCCGAGCTTTCTGGTGGGTTTGTGATCTGCTTGTGTGGGAAGATCGTGATCTGACATCTCCAGGTGTTTACTTTACCGGTGGCTCGCTCAACCCTGCACGTTCCTTTGGTCCTGACGTCATTCTCCACACGTTTAACGGATACCATTGGATCTACTGGGTCGGCCCGGCGCTCGGTTCCCTCTTGGCGGTCAGCTTCTACCGCCTGGTCAAGGTTCTCGAATATGAGACTGCCAACCCTGGTCAAGACTTCAACGAGAAGGAGGCTGAGGTCTTCCACCCGGATGAGGACCCTGCCACTGCCGATGAAGTGCGTCGTCCCAATGTTGGTGGTATGAACTATGGCGAGGCCACGCTCGGTTAGTAAACGTCATTCCCTCTTCATTGGCCCAGACACTAAGAGACAGCCGATCAATCAGGTCCGCAGGCCTCCCGTTACGACGGTAACGAATCCAGTCGCATGGTCCCCACCTCGTCCTCCCACTCCAACACCGTCTACGACCCCAACGGCACCTACGCCACCAGCCCACGTCGCTCAAGCTCCAAGAACCGGCGCGGCTCGCGTTCCAGTCAGCAGCAGCAAGAAGGCCTCGCAGACGCTGCGCAGGCCGCCACGTCTGCATACCCGCCCACGGCTGGCTACGGCTTTGGTGGCTCCAAAGGTGGCGCACAGGGAGGGCACGCGCACTTCCCGCATGAGCGCGGCTTCTATCAAGGCCCTGACGTAGAGAGAGGCAGCTTGCCCACCGACACGGATCAGGGATTCTAAATGCAACCATGGTTAATGTCGACATGACGTCAGCTTAGCGAAGTAAGGATGTACACATGCATGGCGTGGGGTTTGGGCAATGTCCGTTTTCAGTTAGGAGTTCTGTTTCATACCCTTTCACAACGCCGTGATATCTTGGGTGGAGTTTTGAGCCTTGTTTTTGGTCCTCGCGACGGCTGGGTCATCTGGTTCTTGGGCGGACAAGTGCATAGCGGCCAGGATCGTCGATGGGGTATTATTAATGTATAGCGGGTAATCAGGAACAAAAGCAACGAGCAATGCAGCAATGAGTTTTTGATTTCGGGTAATTTGACTCTTTCTGGATGTTCGCATGATGACGCACCTGCAACAGTACATGGATTACTCTACCCTTGGATACCGACGTGGCCTCAAAGTAGATGAGTTTTCTTATGGCCTCGTAGGATACTCCGACGCTCTTATCTTGTTAAATACTTGTACCCTAATGCTTTTTTACCTTCATAATTACCTAGCGACTACCGACTCGTAGCGTTGTAGCTTATTGTAACTACCTAGGGAGTGTTCGGTGGGTACGGTAGATCTTACTCGGTATATAGCCACGGAGCCGGTAAAATATGTCATCTCAAATCTACTACAATATTGCGAGTCTGCATACCCCCACAAGCTATATTCCAAGCCATCAGCGCAGTCCCTATAGTTATCTATGAAATGCTCTACAAGGCGCGTTCTAAAATGCTTAGAAGAACATGTAGACACAGTTGGATCATCTAAAATATTCAGACTCAGAGTGACTTGACAGTCTTTCACTTCTACAGAAGATCACTCGCTGTGGGGATAAATAACAACACTGACCCCTGGGATGCGGGACACAAGACGTCGCGTGAAGAAACGATGTGTCGCAAAAACGGCGGGCGTTTTCATGGCGTTTCGTCTGTTGTTGTGACGGCGCCACGGCTCAGATCCTCCGGCTTGACGCACGCCACCGTCTGCTTGTGCGAAGTTGGTGTGCCGCTCTATCCACGCATCCACACCATCCATCCACCCATTCATCCATCCACCTATCCAGCATCTTCATTCTTCATCTCTCTCTCACACCCCAGACCCAGTCCCTGTGCACACGCTCATGTACCTAGAAAACACCGTGCACGCACACCACGCACCAACGCCCCCAGTGTCCCCGCCCTGCAATCACTGAGCCCCTGCCACGCCGCCGCACGAACACACGCCGGGGTGGGCCTTGTAGGGCTGCCGCCGCGCGCGGTGGCACATGATGGCTGACGGCGCGGGGGCACGGCGGCGGCGAGCTGCGCGCGCGTAAGCGGTGGATGGCGTGGTATGTAGCTAAGTTGGCGGGGTAGTGCTGTGCGACGACCTGACTTGACGCGACGTGTTGTTGACGAGCGAAAGCAGATAGTCGGCCGAGAGCAAGCGCGCGCCTTGCTTTGGCAGCTCATTTCTGGCTGGGCGTACGCAGGATGTTTGGCGTGGGCGAATGAGCAGGCGTGGGCGAGCCTTCCATTTCGAACGGCCCGGGCTCGGAGTGCATCTCTGCGGCCATTGGCTTGCCCTCTAGCTCCGGCCGCGCTTCTTGTCCCTGTAGCTCGTGCGTGTTGTGCGCCGTGCTGAGTTCCTGAGGAGGGATTGCCTCGCTCGTCTTTGCCTGCGTGCTGTCGACCGTCTGCTGCAGCTTCGTCTTCCTCTTTCGCAGCCGCCAGAACAGGATTGCTGCCGCGAGCCCGACGCCTGCTGCTGAGCCGACCGCTATCCCGGCTATGCTGCCGCTCGACAGCCCTGAGGATGCGCCTGTGCCGCCTGTGCCGCCTGTGCTTCCAGATGCTGATGATGACGCTGTCGACGAAGATCCTGATATGCTTCTCGTGGCTGTATGGGCCGCGACATCGATCGAATTAAACGCATCCCAATCGCCGGATATGTGGAAGATGTTGGTGCTGTCTAGACAGCAGGCCGAGTTTTCAATGTTCGTGAAGCTGTCGCAGCAAACATCCGAGTTGTCATTGCACTGCACAATGACTGATCCGTTCCGGGGCTGCTGCGCTGCGTATTTTGTGAGACGGTTCGGTGGTGCAAGGCGGCCTACTCACCTTGACAAAACTTGGGACACTCGTCCGACTGCCATGTCTTATCCGTACAAGTCCCCCTATAATACATGGGCTCCGAGGAGTTTACAAGTGCGCTGGCGTCGCAAAGCTTGTTGTCCAGGCACTTAGCACCTGTAACGCAGCAAAAGCTGTGCGTCGTGTTCAGCTGGCAGGCATATTCGCTAACCGCTATGTTCCCTGCGGGATAGTAACATCGCGGGATGTCTTGGGCGGCGACAAGGCCACAGGCACAAAATATGAGAATAAAAATGAACCGGATATGCTTTCGCATTGTTTCGTTGGGTTTGTCCTGAAGACAAGGAAATGTACAAGTTGCACCACCACGAGCAGACTCGAAAGCTGGTCAATCTCTTCAGTGTATGGGTGAGAGCGGGGTAATATTGATTATCTTAGGGAGCGACCGGGACCTGGTCTTGCGGATGAATACGGGTGCATCATGCAGGGCTGATCCCGTTCAGGCAGTATTGATTACTGAGAAAAATAAACACCTTCGTATTCGGAATGGGTGGTGGGATCGTAGGTGCTTGAACTGAGGTTGTTGGCTTTTGTAGCTGATACGTTGTGGACGTTGTGGGAGGTTCAGGTGGTGGTCTTCGCCTACTCCTAGGCATACATCAATCAGTGACCGGTAGTGCTGCGGTTGGGAGTAATCATGTTGGAAAGTATTTCTTATCTATGTCAGTGAGCTCTAGATAATCTGCCACCCTTTTTAGACCCCACTTAATGCTAAGCCCTTATAGGTAGGTATACGGCTTACTTTTACGCCCTTCAATTCCTACGTGCATATACCTTCGGAGAAGACTTTTGTGCTAATCCTTATCCATCCTCTTAGATATTTATAGAGTTTTTCGTACCACTTTGCTGCAATTCTGTGTTTAGTTGAGCCATCCAGGTAAGTAGTGTTTGGCATAAGGCTTATATCAAAAGATGGGCAAAACGGCCAAAATGACGGGCGATTATTCGGAGCCTCAGTGTGGAAATAATATTTATGAACCCAAAAAACTACTCCAAGGTTTTCTAACAGAGAGAAGGACTTACCCCATTACCGCCTAATTTAAATATTAATCTTCTCCGGCACACCTATACATGAGATCCGTCCTCATCGTAATCTTCGTGCCCTTTACCACATCATCGCCCGAATGAACAAGATTCCTATGCTGGAACAGAAGCACCCTTCCCACCTTGGGCACAATATCCAGGCGCCCCTTTTTCTTGTATTCTTCGGGACCATCCATCATCATAAACGTGTCAGGGCTATGGAGCGTCGTGGCACCGCCCTCCAGCGGCTCTTCACCCTCGGCAGTGGTCGAAGCATCGTTAAGGTATAAATGGAAAGTCATAAAAGAGCGTTCCTTGTTGTCAGGCGTGACGTACGCGCCGTCCATGTGCGCTACGCACCGAAAAACAGTCAGTGACCGCTCAATCCCTGCTGACCACACCGTCATGAAGACCAGAGGCACAACTTACGTCGAAAGTACTCTCCGCCGGTATACTTCAGAAAACGCATCCGTTCATTCAGCCTCGTGGCACACCACGTCTCATTGCAGTAAAGTACGCGGGGGCCCACGGTTTGAGCCCAGCGCGTTCCTTCCAGCGCAAGAACCTCGGGCACGCGGCCCTTGACGCGGTTCCAGATGCGATCGGTAATCAGGACGTCGTCCCAGATAATGCGGCCGCAGTTGCGCTCGTCGGTCATCAGGGCCTGCTTGCCGCCGCCGACGTTGATCATGGCGCGCTCCCATTTTCCGCCGGTGCGCGCTTCCGCTAGCGCCACCAGCGTCGCGCATTCCTCTGGCGTCAAGACGTTGTCCAGTACCACGGCGTACATTCCGGCGTACTTGGGTACGGGGCTGTTTGCGAAATCGATGTGCTCGCATGTCATGTTGGCGGGTGCCGGACCGGCCAGGAAGTCCTGGGGGATTTTAGGCTCCGCGCCTGCTAGGGGAGTTTGCGTGGAAGACATGGTGAGAGCTGAGGCGCGTATCTTGTAACGAGGCTTGCAGACTGGGGGTGTGTTGTGAAAAAGGCGGGAGCAGAAACATAGTTTATATGTGGCCTGGAAAAGAGGCTTGACATGAGGCTGTGCTGGAACCATGGCTGCTGCCTGATGCAGGCGTCACTGGGTGAACATCGATAGTATCAATGTCAGCCTTGTAGGGCGCTTTCCTGAATCACTTTCCGTAGTCTCGATGGAGAAACGTGTCAACGATGAGCATAACATGTAATCGCATATACATGGTCGGACTGCGACTCGACTTATAGACGAATACCTATGTCTGCGATGCCATGCAGCGTAAGTAAATCGCTCAGCCGCATGGCTGTAAGATGTTCCCAAATGTGTTCAAAGCCATATGCCGTCCGTGAGGACAGCGGGGGATGACTGTGTTTGGTGTCCGGTGTGCAAGGCATTCCCAAGGCTCCACGATTCTAGGTAGGGACCGCGTCAAAGCTTCGCGCTTAGCCCCAGAGCCCCTCGGCTATGAGCAAGGGATGACAAGCCTTGGAGATCAGGGCGCAAAAAAGACGTTTCCATTCCAATAATGACTCACACGAGCAAAACGTATCCTGATGGCACACCCCATGGGAGGGCAAAAGGAAATGGGGCTCAACCGCGATTCGAACGCGGGGCCTCTCGCAAATGTGAAACATGACACCCAAAGCGAGAATCATACCACTAGACCATTGAGCCGTTTTCTCGAATTTCAAAATCAGTAAGTATAGTATATGTTCTAAGAAAAATTGCGATTATTTTTTTTTTGCCAGAAGTTGAGGTCAGAGTAGGCTGCAAAAGGCGTCGACGAGGTTCTAAATAAGCGACACTTGTACAATTTATTCTAGTCCGCTCCTGACTCGTAATGCTGGTTTTTCTCTTTGGCTTTTTCGCACCGGCAGACCACTGCGGCACAGAATTTGCAGTGCCACATCCGCGGCGCCATCCGCCGCCAGAAAACCATCTGGCCATCGAAGAAGCTTCTGCAGGAACGTGGCGCCGTTGAAACTGACGTCTGCCGGCGTACCAATCTCACTGGCCCCATCCGTTCTTCGCCCAACCAAGCCACGTGCCTTGGCAGCCTCCTCTTCGTTCACTGTCGTACGACGTGGGCACGTCTCGGGGCGAAATGGGACGAGAGAACCTCATTCGGCTGCATTCCCCCGAAGCCTGGAACCTGGCCCCCTTCATGCCCAAAAGAGCGATGGAATCGATGGAATAAGCGCCAACACCTTCGCGTTCCTATGTGCCTCGGCTATGGTCCCGGCCTGAAGAAGAACTCCTCCTAATCTCTTCTGGACCCAGTCTCCGTTTTCTGGCCCCCCTTCAGGCACATGGATTGATATGTTCGCAGGGAACATCTGCACGTGCCCTGCCTCTCTCGCATTCGCAACAGCCCGGCTTGCCGAAAACACGAATGAAGAGCGCTCTCCTGCCAATGGCAGCTCGCGGACATATAGTAGCAACGTTAGGCGGACCTCAGACTTACTTGTTCTCTCCACCCTACCGGGATCTCCGTGTGTCAGGTTCTCAGTTGTCTCCAATCTCCATTCTCCATTCCCCAATCCTTAGTTAGCGCCGGTGGACCCTCGTTGTGGGTCGGATCAGCCGGATGATCTGAGGGTGCCCGTAAGTCATGGCAAACGATATAAGCGTGTGCCGCAGCTGTGGTCGCGGGGAGGGCTTGTCTGGCGTCCTTCGGCTATAACCATGGCGGACCTGTCAGCTGCCTGCTAAGCGCTCCCTACATATCATTGCTTGCTCGCTACTGTATGATCAAGCCGTTCCTCTCACAATTTTGCGTTCTTTGCACGATACCCACCACTCTGGTACGATGGAGACGCAGGCGTCCGAGTCGGCTTCTCTTTCCCCTCTTCCCCCAGTCCTTCGGAGAGGGTTGCCAGCTGTAGCCGCCTTCGGCATACTGTCTTTTGTAGCGTCCTCCACTCTCTTTATCCTCCTCGCATATCGTCTCTTTTTCAAATACCGTCGGGAACATGGAGTCCAGCTTCAGTTCATCGTCCTCATTTTCAACCTTCTGCTCGCCGATATTCAGCAGTCCATGGCCTTCTTGCTGAATGTCGAGTGGTTGGTCCGTAACGAGATAGCCGTGGGAACTACTACATGCTGGGCTCAAGGTTGGTTCGTCTCAATAGGAGACCTTGCTAGTGGCATCTGGACCATCGCCATTGGTTTACACACATTCGCTTCGGTGGCTTGCAACTACAGGCTCGGCGCCAAATCGTTCTATGCTACTGTAGCTTCGCTGTGGGCATTCGTGTATATTGCTGCTATTGTCGGCGTTGTGCGACATCCGCATGATCTTTTTGTCCGGGCAGGCGCTTGGGTAAGTCCCTTTTCTCTAAACGAGAGCAGTCTTTCCATAAGTCAAGACTGGTTACAACATTTGAGCTAGTCAGCAAATTTAGACCCTTGAAAGGTGTTCATCGGTATATCTGGGGAGGTTTTGCGTCAGCTCTAACATCAACAGTCGAAAACTGCTGACTAGCCAAAACATTGTAACCAGTCTGGACTTTATTTGAATTTCACGTACACCTTACAGCTTAAAATCTTGTCATATGCTAACTACTTCTCGAACAGTGTTGGATCAACAGAGAATACAACGTTCTCCGCCTGTGGACACACTACATCTGGATTTTCCTTGCCGAATTTGGAACTCTTTTCATATACGCCTTCCTCTTCCTCAAGCTCCATCTCCAGCTCCGCCAAGGGTCATCGCAACACCACTTCCGCAGCCCTGCAGCCGTCGCCCGGGCGCAGCGCGCCGCCAAAGTGTTGCTCATCTACCCCATCGTCTACGTCATCTGCACCCTGCCGCTCGCCAGCGCCCGCATGAGCGCCATAACCAAAGAGCCGAACCTGGCGCACCTGTGCGTCGCCGGCGCCATGATCACCTGCAACGGATGGCTGGACGTGCTGGTCTTCGTTCTGACGCGTCGCGTCCTCGACTTCGCAGACGACGCGCAGGAGCCGCACAAGCACAGCCGCCGCACCGACAGCGTCGGCAACAGCATCAACGTGTCTGAGGCCGCGGCCGAAGAGCTCATGGATACGTTCCACTTGCCGTTCTGGAACGATGCCGGGAGGTGGGGCACCACGACGGTGATTGAGGCGAGCACTGCCGGTGGTAGGAACCACGGCAGGACACTCAGTCATCATGGCATTCTGGCGGAGAGGAGTGTGAGCCGCCAGAGCAGCACTGAGAGGCTTTTTGGCAGTAGTTTTGGAAGGGGACTTGCGGTGAAGGCTGAAACAACGGTCGAGGTGCGGAATGAGCCCGTCGAGTTAACCGATGTGAGCAGTATGGCGCCGCCGGCTGTGCAGGCGCTGAAGGAGAAGGAGAGGTTGAGCATGGACTCGGGGAGCTCGATGCGGTCGTGAAGAGGTGGAGAAGCCCGCATTTCTCGGGCATAATCAAATCGACAATGATGGGAATGGCACGAGCTGAGCACGGATGGGCCTGGATCCTCGAAAAGGTAATCCGGACAGAAAGCCTTCTTCGGGGAGGCATTCAACCAAATAAGGTTTCACGGATTGGCATCCAGGTACCCACACGCATGCCATGGGATATTGTCTGACATCAGCGGATGCGGACCTATGCCCTGAAAGGGGCGGAGATTGCCTCTACCCGCTCAGCCGCCTCTCACTACGTACATACGCGACACGCGCCCGCATACACGCACACCTACATCCACACTCACCTACAAACCCTTCCAGTCCCACGCAAAAGAGCAGAGAGCATGCTCAGCAAAGCATCTGCAGCAATGGTTGCAGGCTCTGATTTTGTTTTTCTGTCTCATTATATCGGCCAGACAGGCGCGAGCCAGGCTTTTTGACATAAATTCAAAGCAGTATCAGTTTAATATCCTAACACGTAGTATGTAATAAGTAATATTTCTTAGAGTTTAGTACAACACGATGGTGGGATGAAAGATGATATTGTAATCTTAAGCTTTTCTATTACCATTTGCCGCCGAAGTGAGCTCTCCTCCTTGGTTCAATAGGCAATCCCTCTCTTGCATATATTCTGATCCGCTCGGCAAAATTCATCTTCTCCTCCATAGCACTATAATGGACTACATTCGCGGTAGCGCATACCGCGGACTGCTGCTGGCAGTGCTTTACCTTCTATCTATTCTTTTTGCTCTACAGTCTACCCTTCTCCCCTCTCTCCCCTCTCTCCCCTCTTCCCTCATCTCTTCCCTCATCTCGTAGGGCAGCTGCTGCTCAACACGCTCGTCCTCTGCATCTTTTCGCCTTCTCGGGCTACGGTTCATCCAATTCACCGCCTCTCCCGCTGGTATATATAATACGCTACAAACTCATCAGCCTGGATTCAACGAACACGGCCAGCTACGACCTGGTCCAGAAAGCTATTGATTGTGATGGGCTTCTTGTCAACGAATGCATAGCGTCAAGACCGAATGCGATTTTGTCCAAACAGGAAGAGCTGTCCACCGCCATAAGCCAACTTGAGACCGATTTTAAAATTGTCAAGGCTGAAAACCAGATCAATAATCAGCACCAAACGAAAATGGTGACGATCATCTAAATGACCAGATACTAGTATGCATCGACACGCTACGGCCTTAATCGTCAATATTATAAGTAGATAAAAGAAAAGATGCCTGGTCTGCTGACGTCGTGGTACAGAGGCTTGCGATGGATGGAAGGACTTGGAAGAAGTCACCGACTAAGATTACGTTGATTCCGCTAAAGAAATTGTTGGCTCTCGTAGGTGTGGTCGACAACTAGTAGGTAAGGGAAAGCGCAGCATAACAGGGCGATTGAAATTTATACCAGCAGCTGTAGCCTTTTTCTTTAGTTATTACACGAACAGAGCATTCGGAGCGGGCGCTCTGCTCAAATCAAGGAATATCTCAACAAAAGCATCCAACCTACACTGAACGATATTGAATCCATACGCGAAGGAATCAAACAGACATCACCAGCACCTGCGAGTTAAAAAAAAAAAAAAAAAAAAAAAAAAAAAAAAAAAAACATCCACAGCACACAAGCTTGACTCACTGAAACACCACAAAGAAAACACCGAAAACACAAAGTCCAAAAAAATGCAAAAAGATACCGGGGCCTAGCCGCGATTCGAACGCGGGGCCTGTCACAATCTGGTAATAGCCTAGAGACTACTGGGCGAACCCGAAGCGACAATCATACCACTAGACCACTAGGCCGATGTTGATGTGAGGCAATTCTTCAAATCTTATAATATACCTCACCATGGTTAATCCATTATTCCCCCAACCTAAAAACCTTTACTTACGACACGCACGCAGCCCTGCCACCCTGTCCACGGAAACGCCATCAAACACGCCTGCAGTTTCACACAGACACGACACGCGTCTCCACCCCCCGCTCGCTCGGCCATCGGCAGCCTGCAGCCTTGCGTGCCGTGCGGGTGCCTGCGTGCGTGCTCCCATCGAGCCGAGACGAACATCAAACGGTCGGACCACAGCTAACGGCGAGCCAAGAGTCCACGGCCGCGCAGGAGCCATGGAGCCTCGGCTCCACTCGCGCGCCGCGGACTTCCGCGCTCCGTGGAGACTGGAGCCTGTGGGAGACCTGGACTCCTGGAGACGGGTGGCAGCGCCGACAACCGGCCTGCCGTCTGCCTGGGGTGCGGTTCGGGGGTCTGGGGATGCCTCCCCCATCATGTACGCGAGGCGAGAAGCTTGGCCTACCTAGGAGTAATGTTTTACTTTGCTTCTTGTCGTCGTCATCATCGTCGTCGGCGTCGGCGCGGAGCTCGAGCAGAGTCTATAGATAATTGTTCCATGTAGAGTGCTTACCAAAAAATGTCTGGGTATGCCTGGAAAAGCATCACAATCACGGTAGGCAGGAGAAACGGAACAACGATTTGTGTCATAAAACAATCCAACGGCGTTCTTTTGCTTTTCCAACCGACGATCCAACTCTAGATAGATCTATTCCTTTGATTTATGTTTCCCCCAATTGTCGCGCCATGGATATCCCTGTGAATGCTCAAAACACACACCGCCCTTACAACTGCTCAAGCAGACCCTCACCCTCGAGCAGCAGGACGATCTGGTGAACGATGGTCCTGACGTTGCTCTTCTGGAAGTCGACGACGAGGTCGGCCTTCTCGGGAGCCTCGTACGGGTCGTCGACACCAGTGAAACCCTTGATCTCGCCGCGGCGCGCCTTGGCGTAGACGCCCTTCTTGTCCGTGGACTCGCAGTACTCGAGGGGAGTGGCGACGTGGACCAGGAAGAAGGTGCCGTACTTCTCAACCATCTCGCGGGCGTGCTTGCGGCCGTCCTCGAAGGGAGCAATGGGCGCAGCAATAACGGCGGCACCGGCCTTGGTCAGCTCGGAGGCGACGAAGGCAATACGGCCGACGTTGGTGTTGCGGTCGGCGCGGGTGAAGCCAAGCTCGGAGGAGAGCTCGTGGCGGACGGTCTCACCAAGGAGGAGGGAGACACTGCGGCCACCCTGCTGGTTCAGGGTAACGTTAAGGGCACGGGCAATGGCGTCCTTGCCGGAGTTCTGGTAACCAGTAAGGAAGATGGTGAAACCCTGCTGGTTGCGGGGAGGGTGCGACTCGCGGAGGACCCTGACGACCTCGGGGTAAGAGAACCACTCGGGAATGTGAGCGCCAGTCCTCAGGCGCTTGCGGAGCTCTGATAGGCGCATTAGCGATAATCCTTGTCTCAGCATATGCAGGGTAGCTCACCAGTGCCGGAGATGTCAAGGGTCTTGACGTCCTTGGGGACCTCGTCCTTGGGCATGTACTCATCACGGTCCGGCAGGTAAGTCATCTGCTGGAAGGGAACCATCTCAATGCCGAGCTCATCTTTGTACTTGGTGACAAGGTCCTGCGCATCGTAGGGGCCGTAGAAGTCGACGCCCTTGCTGTTCTTACCGGGACCAGCGTGGTCACGGCCGACGATGAAGTGGGTAGCACCGTGGTTCTTGCGGATGATGGCGTGCCAAAGAGCCTCACGGGGACCAGCCATACGCATGGCCAGGGGCAGGAGACCAAGGACGGCCATGCCGTTGGGGTAACGGGGCAGGAGGGCCTGGTAGACACGGACACGAGTGAAGTGGTCGATGTCACCGGGCTTGGTCAGACCGACGACGGGGTGAATGAGGACGTTGGCCTGGCGCTGGCGGGCAGCGCGGACCGTCAACTCACGGTGAGCGCGGTGCATGGGGTTACTGTGGAAAATCAGCACACGCTCGTATCATGGCGGGTTTGTAGCAACGTACCGGGTCTGGAAAGCGACAACCCTGGACCAGCCAAGCTTGTCAAAGTGGAGGCGGAGCTCCGCGGGGGAGTAGCGCAGAGCAACGTAGTCGTAGTGCATGAGACGGTCAATGGCCTCAAGCTTACCACCAACGTAGAACTCCTGGACTGAGTGGTAGAGGTACTTGATGGCGGGGTGAGCCTCATCGCCGTCCTTGTCGAAGACCTCACGAGCCTCCTTTTGCCTGCCGATTGTAAGCCCATATCCTCGCTTCGCAAGCGTCACAATTCTTACTTGTCCGGCCTGTAGATATCCTCGATGGTCATGATGGCAAGGTTGCGGTCATCGCGGAGGTCACGGAGGACGATGCGAGCACCAGGCTTCACACCAACCTCCTCAATGGTCTCCTTGGAGAGATCGAGGGTAATGGGCATGGAGAAAAGGTTGCCATCGGCGAGACGGTTGTTCTCAACGACGCTGTGGTCTGATTAGCACAATGGCTCTGTGGCATCGGATCGAGGGGCATTCTCACCCATTGTAGTCCTTCTCGTTCATGAAACCTGCGCGGGGCGTCAGCCTGGGTCCCGCCGGATATGACGGCGCTGTGCGACACAGCGATATCGGGGTGGAAAACTAACCCTCCAGAGGGGAGAAGCCACCGTTCAGGATCAGCTCCATGTCGCAAAGCTGCCTCTCGGTCAGGACGACGGCGGGAAGCTTCTCAGCCTCCTCGGACAGCTCCTTCCTGCGGGGAGCATCGCGAGCAATAAGGTCCTTGAGGACGCCGCCTGTGGTTCAATTGTCAGCCGGTGGGGCACGACGCCGCGCGTGGGCAGCAAAAACTCACCGTGGGGAGGGTTGGCCATGATGTGGGATGTGTGAAAGGTGCGAAGAGGGTTTACAACAGTCACTGGAGAGGGCGCGGCGGGATTATATGCTTTCAGAAGAACCGGAGCGCTCCAATGGGTGCAGGGATGCCGTAATTCAGCATACGTAGAGCTAATGACAATCGTCGACCAACTGCCGCGTCAACACTGGTGGCCGGAGCGTCTCCGCCGTCAGAGACGAAAGCTCCGCGCACAGGCCGAGGCGGGGCGATGTGCGACTTGGGAGTGCGTGCAAGACCGGGCGCGTGAGGGTTTGATTATCGTCTACGTGTTGCGGCGGCTTCAGCGTCGTCACATCCGCGTTGGCGAGGCGCGCCGCCGCTTCCATCCTCGTGGCGTCGAAATGAAAGAGG